AAAAAAAAAAAAAAGCCTGTAATCCCAGGACTCAGGAGGCTGAGGCAAGAGGATCACTTCAAATTTGAGGCCAGCCTGGGCTACATAGTGAGCTCACGGTCAGCCTGAAGTACATTGTGAAACCTTGCCTCACAGAGGTCAGAGCCAGGGATATAACTCAGTGGCACAGTGGCTGCCTGGCAAGTGCAAGGTCCTGAGTTCTATTCCCGGTACCAAAATATATAAAATCATTTTTTTTTTTTTTTTTTTTTTTGCGGAACCGGGGATTGAACTCAGATCCTTGCGTTTGCCAATCAAGCGCTTATCCTACTGAGCCATCTCCCTAGCCCCTATAAAATCATTTTTAAAATGGGATTGTAAGACTGTAGTTATATACTCTTTAGTGACAGACTTAATTTTTTTTTTTCCTGTACTTTAGGGCAGGGTCTAGAGGGTCTATAGGGTCTTACTATGTAGATTAGACTCGTAGTGATTCTCCTGTTTTCAGCCTCCCAAGCACTGGGATTATAGGCATGCACCATCATGACCAGTCTCAATCACAGTCTCAGCGTGCCCCGGGGGGCAGGCCAGCATGGCATGCCACAGACTTATCTATTGATGAGACTTGAGTTTAAAAGCTGGGCCTGGTGGCACAAGACCATAATCCCAGCACTTGGGAGGTTGAGGCAGGAGGATTATTGTGACTTTGAAGCCAGCCTTGGCTACACAGTGAGTTCAGTACCAGTCTAAATTACATATTGAAGGGCTGGGGAGATGGCTCAATGGAATAAGCGCTTCCCTAGCAAGTGCAAGGGTCTGAGTTCAATCCCCAGTTCTGCAAATAAATAAATAAATAAATAAATAAACTACATATTGAGATCCTGTCTCAAAAGACAAATAAGGGGCCAGGGAGATGGCTCAGAATAAGCGCTTCCCTGGCAAGCTCAAGGGCCTGAGTTCAATCCCCGGTTCCACCAAAAAAAAGTACAAATCTAGGCATGCCAATAGTCACTGCACTCAGAGACTGAGGCAGTTACATAAATTCAAGGTCACCCTCAACTGCATGGCAAGACTGTCTCAAATGGGGCCAGGGAGATGGCTCAGTGGAATAAGCGCTTCTCTGGCAAGTGCAAGGGTCTGAGTTCAATTCCCTGGTTCAGCAAAAAAAAAAAAAAAAGACTGTCAAGAAAATCAAAAAAAGAGGGGCCAGGGAGATGGCTCAGTAGAATATAGGCTTCCCTGGCAAGCACAAGGGCCTGAGTTCAAGCCCCAGTTCTGAGGGAAAAAAAAATTGTTTAGATTATATTCATTAATAGTAAAGAACAAAGGGATTTAACACACCTCTTTTTTTTTTTTTTTTTTTTTTTTGTGGTACTAGGGATTGAACTCAGGACCTTGCACTTGCCAGGCAAGCACTTATTCTACTGAACTATCTCCCCAGCCCAAAGACGCCTTAATGTTCATCCATCTGTGGAAAGTATTCACAGATACTACATCAGGACCTTGCAGAAAACATTCCAGGTATACAAAGCACACAAACAGCTGGGACTTTCTCAGGTTGGCTCTGGGCTTTTAGTGACTGACACTGAGGGTAGCTGGAATGCCATACAGGCAACTGCCAGGATACCAGAAGGAGGGCCGCTGCTCTGTGGCCCAGATGACTGCAGCCAAGTTGATTTTCTGTGAAAATTAGGACATCCCGTCATACTCTAGCTAAATGAACTCAGAGCAGCCACAGTACTTCTCTTCCGGAGTTAGGTTTCCCAATCTACCTGAGCAGACACAGCAAAATCAGCTAATGGCCTGAGAAGTCCCCAGCCCTTGAGTCCATTGGATAAGACAGAGGGTGCTTCCCGTAACTAGGAATAGACTGTAACAGGAATACCTGAGGGCCTCCACCCTGAGAGGAAGGCTGTGTCTGAGCAGCCTGAGGGAGAGGGGCCTGGTCCTTCACCTTTCCAAGGCTTTTGAGGAGCCTGGAAGGTCAAGGGCCACCGAGAGGCTGTGATGTTTCTCTAATCATCAGAGATGCTTTAGGACAACAGTCCCCAACTTTTTTGGCAAAAGGTACCAGTTTCATGTAAGACAAATTTGAGGGTGGTTTTGGGTGACTCAGAGGATCATGTAAGGCCGGGGATATAGCTCAGCAGCACAGTGCTTATTTGGCAAGCACAAGATCCCAAGTTGGATTCTCGGTACCTAAAAGATATCTCTCAAGGATTGCATAATCTACTTCCCTCACATGAGCAGTTCACAGCTAGTCTGTCAGGAGGTGAGGCTCAGGCAGCAAAGCCAGTGCTGGGATCAACAGTGTCCATTACATATGGATCGAACTCTTTTTTTTTTTTTTTTTGGCGCTACCAGGGAATGAACTCAGGACCCTGTGTTTGCCAGGCAAGTGCTTATTCTATTGAGCTATCTCCCCAGCCCCTACATATGGATCGAGCTGCTGTGTAACCAAGTGTTTTAATTAATGCTACTCTCCCCAGGGTGGTGTCATACACTTGTAATCCCAGCATTGGGGAGTCTGAGGATTGCCGTAAGTTTGAGGGCAATGTGGCCCAAATAGTATTTTCCAGCCACCTTGAACTACGTAACAAAACCCTGTGTCCAAAAAAAAAAAAAAGTTCTTATGCTAGCATGGTAGTGTATACATACAATCCTGGATACTCAGGAGGCTGAGGCAGGAGGATTACAAGTTTGAGACCAGCCTGGGCAACTTATCAAGACCCTATTTCAAAATAAAAATTATAGAATATTTGCTTGCCATGCACAAACTTTGTATTTAATCACCAGCACTATACACACAAAAATTTAAATAATAAAAGGTGGGGATGTAGCTATATAGCTCAGTGGTAGAGTACTTGCCTAGCATGTGTAAGACCCAGGTTCAAATCCTAGTACAAAAGTTCTCAGAACAAAATAACTCCCAGGCCTGGGAGATAGCTCAGTGTCATAAGTGCCTGCCTGGCAAGTGCAAAGTCCAGAATTCAATCCCCGGTATGGAGGAGGGAAAAAAAAAAAAAAAAAGGAACAACAACTCCCTTTTAGTTTGGGATCTTAGGTGACAGCTGGCTCTGGGCACTTGAAGAATGCTGGTGCTGCCAAAGGCAACTGTGTGGAGCACAGGAGAGAGCAGGCCCTGGGGTTGGAGGGCAGGACGGCACTGGGCATGTCAGCATAGCTGGTGATCACTGTCACATCACAGATACTGACCTCTCATTAAGTGGTCCTAGCTTCTGCCTGCTACACTCCTGGGTGTAAGAAGGGCCCAGCTGAGCTGCATGAAGAGGAGGAAGCAGAGGAGGAAGTTTGGGGACTATTGAGAGCTACAGCCTGAAGGAGGCAAGTGGAAAGGACCCAGAGCTGGCTGGGCAGGGAGCTCAGGCTGCACAAACAGGTCGGAGGGGGACTGGGAGGATTAGTTAGACTTGGGACCTGAGGGACACGTCATGAACCTTCTGCAGGTGCCTTCTGGGTGGAGCCAGGGCAAAGTCCTGGCTGTTGGCTATGTGCCTGCACAACTTGGCACTCTGGGTCCGAGTTCACATGTGTGGCAGGCTGGGATAATCCTAGAGCAAAAAGACTGAACCTTTTGGCTCAATGTGAGCCTGAGAAGCTCTGGCCCAGTAAGTAGAACTGTTTTTGGGGTTTTTTTGGTGGAACCGGGGATTGAACTCAGGGCCTTGCACTTGCCAGGGAAGCGCTTATTCCACTGAGCCATCTCCCTGGCCCCCAGTAAGTAGCACTGCTGACAGCAGAGAACACATTAGGAGACTGTATTTATTTTTTATTTTTTATTTTTTCTCGGTACCAGGGATCAAACTCAGGACCTTGTGCTTGCCAGGCAAGCACTCATTCCAATGAGCCATCTCCCTGGCCCCCAGTAAGTAGCACTGCTGACAGCAGAGAACACATTAGGAGCCTTTAGCCCATCCTCCTAGTGCGTGGATGGTCATGGGAAGTCTCAGGGCATCTGCCCTACCTGACTGGGGCAGTTTTAGGAAAGGTCTATGTAGGGTCTTGGCTCTGGGGATCTGGGATAGAACCAGCTGCTTTTCTGTCCGTCATTCTCAGAGGGCCAGCACTGGGGTCAGCTTCTCCATGGCTCCTCCATGGGCCAGGTAAGGGAGCCTTAAGAGTGCTGGCCCAAGGGACATGACCTCGCACTTCAGCAATGGGGAGGACTTCTCTAGGATTTATGAACATCGAATTCTCAGCCCACCGCGGGGCACCAGGACTACAGTGGGCTGGCATGGGCATGGCCAGGGAAAGCGCTGGGGCACCAGGGCCCCAGCTGCTTAGGCATGGTCTGCAACCTGTTTTCTAAGCTCCAGACTGCAGACAGCAGGTTTGGAAGTTTGCACCAGGCCAGAAGATCCTGGGGCAGTCACTGTGTGGTGTTTGGCCTTTCGCCCTGCCAACTAGGGCAAGTGGGGGTTCAAAGTTACTGGCCAACTTTGGAATTCTCAGAGACGGATGTACCATCCTGCCAAAAGTTCAGTCCGTCTGCAGAGCAATGTTGGGCTGGACGCGAGGCCTTGGACCAATGGCCAGTGTTCTCATATCGGCCCTCTTGCGCCCCCGCGCGGTAGGACAGATCCCTCCTTCCACTCTGTCCCTTCCACACCCACTCCGACTCCGCCTACGCCGTTACTAGCTTCCGGCTCCAGCATTAGCCTCGCCTACAGATGGCCTTACTCTGCGGGGTAAGCATGCCTAGAGGCTGAGCTTTGGCATGGGTGAAACCTTTCCTCTAGCAGCATATACCTTCTCTCGATCCTCCTCCCCAGGTTGCTCTGGAAAGTAGGGAACATTCCATGCCCGCGAGGGTAGCACGCATGGACCCTAAGGAGATGCAGGGAGTCTGCACCAGAGGATAAACTTCTGTAAATCAGCCTCAGTCCAGGGCCTGGATTGCAACCCCCACCACTGTCTCCTCAAACTTCCTGTGAAGGGCTACTCTCAGGCCATGAGCCACTGAGGGAGGGTGCCACGTGGGGTGTTTTATTTATTGCAATTAGGGCCTTGCATTGAGCCCTATTTTACCGTACTGGGTATCAAAATCCAGAGGCATTTACCACTGAGCTATATCCCCAGCTTTTTTTTTTTTGAGACAGGCTTCAGGCTGGCCTTAAACTCTTGCCTCAGTATCCGAAATACAGAGATTACAGGCATGAGCCACTGTGCCTGGCTCACCAGTGCCCACCCCTGCCAAACTTTTGGTACCTATATCAAACTCTTGACTTCATGCTTGCCAGGGAGGTGCTGTGCCACTGAACTACATCCCCAGCCCCTTACTTTTTTTCTTTCTGGTTGAGACAGGGTCTCCTTAAGTAGTTCTGGCTGGCCTCAAATTCAGTTATCCTCCTAGCTCAGCTTCCCAGTGCTGGGATTAGAAGCTTGCACTACCGTCTCAGAGAAGGGAAGATTTTTTTTTTTAAATGGAACCGGGGATTGAACTCAGGTCCTTGCACTTGTCAGGGAAGCGCTTATTCCACTGAGCCATCTCCCCAGCCCCATTTTTTCCTTTTTTTTTGCGGTACCAGGGATTGAACTCAGGACCTTGCGCTTATGAGGCAAGCACTTATGCTACTGGGCTATATTCCCAACCCCAGAGAAGGGAAGATTTTAACATGTTTTTCAAGCACTTCAGGGTTGGGAGTAGCAGCACCCCCAGCCCCAGTGAAGGCCCCTCTGGCAGAACACCTCACCCCTGGAAGGGAGCCTGCCACCTCTCCCAAGCCTCCAAGACAAGCAGCAGAGACCCCGCTCCTTCAGGGGTGTTTATTTCCCGGTCAGAATAGAAGCAGGGATAGGCTCCTCTGCCTGTCAAGGCCTGGGCCTCACAAACACCACTTGGGGACCGGGGAGGGGGAAGAGGA